AACTCTGGAAAAGAAAACATAACCCATCGGTGGTGATCATGCAGAAACTAAATAAGATTAATGAAGGTGGAGAGCAGACAAACAACCATTTTTAAGGAGCCCCATGTGTCTTGTTTTCTAAAGAGCAGGAACAAGAATCCAGGAATAATTAAAGTGCTCAGTGAACAAATGTAAATCCAATTGGCAAAATCTAGCTTTGTAGACCCTGGAGGACATCAGATTATGCAGTCAGATAGGCATCTGAATTTAAATTTGCTCGGATCCAGCTAAGCAGCAGCAATCGGGGGGGGGGGGCAATCTACCAAACGCCTGACCTCCATATGGCTGATTTGCTACAGTATACTGGGATGGGGAGGAGCTTGACACTGAGGCTGGTGCAGTGCAAATTCCATATTTTTTTAAATATATATATATGTAAAAAAAGAATTTCAGATCTAACACAGATACAGAATGGAATCGGTATCTCCACTCAAAAGGCTTGCTAAAAAAATGAAGGTGTTCAGTAGGTACTGAAAAGACAAGCGAGACGGTGCCTGTCTGCTGTGTAATGATAGAGAGTTCCAAAGGATAGGTGCCACTAGTACTTTTTTTCTGGGAGGACACTGGGGTATGAATACCCTTAAACATTTTGTGAATCTAACGGGAGAAGAAACTAAAAAAAAATTGTTTTTTCTCTAACACGGTGAATCGTCATTTCCGTTGGTGGCCTCATTTCCTGTCACAGTGTTTCCTGAGTCTCAGACGGAAGCGAGTGTTTAATATGTGAAGTAGGAGTTGGAATTAGCACGGTGATTGGTCAGTTTCGTTATTACCACCTCTGGTGGCGGCTTCATTTCCTTTCCTGGTGTAATGCATGTTCTTTGTACTTTTCTCCATTTACTGTATTTATTTTTCCAGATTTGAACTATAAAATGGTGATTTTCTTGAGTCAAAATGAGAGTACCCCTAAACATTATTATATATATATATATATATCTCACTGGGTGCCCCCACACTAATGGCCAGATTCCTATACTGTTGGTTTGGGTTACATATGGTATTACTGGAGCCATGTTCATTTCAATGGATGGACCCCTATGAAAAAGCAGAGACAGCAGTCATGGAGTTCAGTGCTTTCGAGGGGTCTTCAGCTCTTATAGGTGGCAAGAAACCATTTTAAGAAGGGAAGCCATTTTAAATTCAACAGTATTAACCTTCACATCCATTGATTTATATTATCCCTCAAATGGTCATCCTCATCGTTACTGCTGTTCGTAGTAATAAAAGCAAGACAGCTGAGCTCTTGAAATCCTTTTGATAAAGACTGCTCTTGAGAAGCTTATTATGTCAGGAGACCAGAGCCTGAATTCAGCAATGACCAGAAACATGAGCTCTGTCAGGCTTTTCCTGATGCTTCCCAAACTAAGGCACAGTTCTGTGCAATCGAATGTGTTTCTTCGAGAGCTACCAGTTCACTGAGCATGCATAGCTATTTAATTACACTTTAATTAGAGTCCTTTCTCTGTGATATGGGAAGGTGGGAGCAGCAGACATAAAAACTTCAACTATACCACTGGGATCACCACAACAAAAATCTAGCTAGAAGCTCAGTGGACTGAAGACAATAAAAATGGCTACTTCCATTAAAACTCTCTTTAAAGTCTGGGACATTTTATTTAGTGAACTTCCCTCCCTAGCGTTGTAAATCCGGTCATTTTGTTTTCCAATCCACAACTGCTTTTTAAGTTAAATTGCTTCAGCATACCACCTGATTACAGGTCGAAAAAGTGGACAATGCAGAAGACTATCATGTTTACTGAATTCAAATAAAGAAAAGGGGAATTTCACAGGGGTGTACTGCTGGTCAAACAAAACAGTAATGATAAGACTTCCTGAGACAGTGCTTGAATAATGGGATGCATGAATAATATGGCCCAAACATGCATATTTTACTGATATCTCTTGGGCTGTTTCTATGTGTGTGTGAAATATATAGATGCCTGTTGTGAAAAGAAAAGTGAAATCCAGCAGTGTACAATCTCTTGCACAAGGTCTGCTAGTTGTTTTATTTTGTTTTGGTTTTTTTGTATTATTTGATATTTTAGGTGTTACAAGTTGGCTTGCATTTTTCTTTCTTTCAATGAGATGGTACATTAATTAAATACAATACTGACCAATAAAACACATGGTTCATTTATTTAGAATATTAATATACCAGGTTTCATCCAAAAGTATCCCAAGCAATGATAATGGAACAGTGAGAACCACACAGGAGGCTAAACCACCATCTGCCTGTAATATATGCTGGATCAGCCTGAGAACCATTTTCGCATAAACAGATACTTGTGCATTTAGAGGAAAATAGATATTTCCATCTGAGAAGACTTGAAGAAGTTTGAACTTTTGAGAGACGATTGACAGAAGCATGTATAATAATAGTATATTGGTTACCACCACTGGGAAATTATAGGTGCTTTACTGTAATAACTGTGTATCTTTTTATATATATATAAAAAAACCAACAACCTAAAAGCCTTAAAATGATAAAAAGGAACACCATATCTACCCAAATCACTTTAATCTGTTAACTCATGGTTTTAGAAGAGTGCATGAAGGATTACAACTGCTATATGAAGATTAAGAACACAAATTTATTTATTCAAAAACGTACATTATTTTGAGGGAGCACAAATTCCCAAGTGACATGACCTACTAAAGTGATCATCAAATAGAAAGGCTGAGATGGGCAATATACATCCATAAGTAATTATCCTTGGATCTAACTCTAACTCATTTGGTATCAGCCATTCAACACAACACAACACAACACAGGAGACATAGTTTGGTTTGACAACTTTTTTTTTTTAAGAAAAATCAGATTGAAGATTATGGCAAGTGATTATCCATCTATAAAAAAAATATGTAATAAAAAATTATAGCAGATAGCAAACAGTATACAGACTAGCCTTCTATTAACGAACCAAACAAGTCTTAACAAATATTTTATTATTTTTGATTGCTATGATGATTAGGGTTGCCACTGCAGGAGCATCCCAAACGCTGAGATTTCAGGGCCCAGATGATGACATTGGGGGAGGGGGTAATGTCATTAAGTATGACACATTAAGCATGAACCACAGTTGCTGAGAGGATGCCAATGTCAATGGTTGGAAGTTAAGATAGAAACCTTTGTTAAAGGGGATGGTTATGATCCTTAGAGAGTCTATGCAATAATTTGCAGTTCGCTCCTGATGACTAAAGCTGGCAAGTTGCATACATAGTCTTCTTAATAAATAAATAAAACAATTAAAGGCACTCTTTAAGGCACCTAGAGAGGGGCAGGCAAATCTGGCGATTCCAGAGGTCTGGCCACCCATCTATTATAAGGTCTATTCAGCCAGCCAACCATAGACCCTATTGTTACAATAAACCAAATGGTTAAAAAAATGTATTGTTTATGGTTGCATCTTGCAATTTGTGGGAATTTTTATGATTTCTTCAGAATCACATTAGCTTTTTATGGAACACTCAAAACCTAGAATAGCAAACATCTAAAGTTTACCAAGATTTGAAATACTTCAGGCTGCTAGCCCAAAGGAAAACTAAAATGCAGAACTTCTTAGATCCTTTCACGTTGGTAACATTTAATGCAAGGTCATTGCCAGCAAAATGTTCAGTTTTATTTGCCTTCCATTCCACATGGACAAGAAGATTTTTGTTTTTGAAAGATGTTTAGTTTGTAATGTATGGTGCCCATTTGAAAACTGTTTATGTCTCCTGTATGTAAAGTTTTCCAGAGGCTTTGCTGGTGTCACAAGATATATTTCATAGCATGTTCATGGACAAGCAAGCCGCTTAAATTACTGTCCAAGTCTATGCAGCTACATAAAACTACAAGGACACAATATACTGGTTTAACGCAGGGTGACTTGTGCTGCATTCAGATTAAATTCTAGTGCATTGTACTTGGCTTAGCTCTCAGCAAATGTCCCTGTTGGTCTTCTCTCATTTCAAAAAGTTTTTCTCTTGCAAGAGAAAACACAGAGCCAAAGCAAAATTCCATAACATTTAGATTAGATGTGGTTTGGCTATAAGTTTTGCCAACTGTTCCCAATCCCAAGGAGGTAGAGTGCATCGTTAATATGGGGAATATACATCATTAACATGAGAAGAATATGCTACCATTAGAACTGACATCTCAAGTGAGCAGAACAGGAGAAGACTTCCTGGTGTGCTGAAGGAAAAAATGGATCATAAGTTCTACTAAGAGTCAACCCACTGAAATTGTAGTTGGTACTAATATAGAATATTTGCCAATTTTCAAATAATTCATGTAAACATGTATCTAAGGATGTGCCAATGAATGTACCATGTGAGCAGACCCAGCCTACCTACAGGAGTGCTTGCTTGCTTGCTTGCTTGCTTGTTCAGCAGCTAGTTCAGGAACCAAAATGTGCACATGACTGTGCACTTCAAAAGGAGGGCATAAGGGGCATGTTAAGATAGTAATTAATAGTAATAGTAATAGTAATAGTAATAGTAATAGTAATAGTAATAGTTTCCCCAGCCACTCTGGGCAGCTTCCAACAAAGATTAAAAATACATTAAAATGTCACACATTAAAAACTTCCCTGAACTGACATCTCAAGTGAGCAGAACAGGAGAAGACTTCTTGGTGTGCTGAAGGAAAAAATGGATCGTAACCAAATAAGTTCTACTAAGAGTCAACCCACTGAAATTGTAGTTGGTACTAATATAGAATATTTCCCAATTTTCAAATAATTCATGTAAACATGTATCTAAGTATGTGCCAATGAATGTACCATTGTGAGCAGACCCAGCCTACCTACAGCTGCCTTCAGATGTCTTCTAAATGTCAGGTAGTTGTTTATCTCTTTGACATCTGAGGACGTTCCACAGGGCAGGCGCCACTACCGAGAAGGCCCTCTGCCTGGTTCCCTGTAGCTTAGCTTTCCATAGTGAGGGAACCGCCAGAAGGCCCTCGGCACTGGACCTCAGTGTCCAGGCAGAACAATGGGGGTGGAGATGTTGAGACATTTTAGACTGTGCCTAGATGTGTATCTTGAGAGCTCTCCTCTGACTTCCTGAACCATGTGACTTGACCTGTGTTTCAGCCATGCAGGAATTTTTGGAATAAAGCCTTCAAGAACAATCAAGCGTTCCAAGTACTGTGTCGAGGAGTGGCAGGTCAGACGGGAATAAGGTATTTATGTGTTTTCCACATCCTCACCCATTCCAGAAACACAGGTATCTATTGAGTCCTATTGGAATTCCTCAGAGCACTGGTGCTATAGCCTCATGCAATGTACAGCCATGTCTCTATACATATAATATATTTATTTGCTACAACATGTGAAACTCTCCAGGTGTTGGAGTTGGATTGAGAAGCAGATAATGTAATAATTAATAATAATTTTATTATTTATAGCCCACCCATCTGACTGGGTACTACACATGTATTTGTAGAATATTCATCTACCAAAGGAAATGTCGGAGACATGCAAAAAATATAAAAAAAAATAGAGAATGAGAATGTCGGAAAAGTTGATGTCATGTGCATATTCTCCCACTGGAACAACTTAATTTTTAATTTGGACAACAGAAGTTCTAACAATCCTGAAACTCAAACAGTAAGTGGACAGCCATGAACCAAATAGTAGTTAACACAGCAGATTTAGTGTAAACCTGAACTTATCTTGATCTCTCAAAGAAAAGGGCGCACTGTGCTGACTGATACTCAGTATAGGCGGTAGGAGTAAAACATGCCCACAAGATAATCACATCCTTACAGAAATTGAAAACGTATGTGAAAGTCTTGGTGGTCCTGAAAAGGGGTGGGGGCTCAGACAATTTCTTGATTCTGTGTCATCATTCATTCTTTCATTTGAAAAATCAAGAGTTTTAGAATGACAAACAAAGATTAATGTTTTATTCATAAAAGGATAGCTTATGAAAGAGTGAAATGGAGCATATTTCTACCTGATAAATGCAGAGACCTGTAAACTCTGAACCCAGCTTGGCCTTTTTTTCTTGTGACCCTGTTTAAGTGATTTATTTACCTTTAAGAACTGAAGTTTGCAGGAGGTAGAATATGCAGTGTAGTAGATCTTTAATTCTAAAATATTTAAACAAGGGTGGCTGATGTTAGAAATGCTCTACAGAGATGGAGCATCTTTACTTACTTTGCAGCCAATATTTGATTTGGGAATATATTCTGTCGTACCTTGGTTCCCGAACGGCTTAGTTGCCGAACAAATCAACTCCCAAATGCCGCAAACCCAGAAGTAAATGTTCTGGTTTGTGAACGTTTTTTGGAAGCCGAACGTCCAACGCGGCTTCTGCTTGAGTGCAGGAAGCTCCTGTAGCCAATTGGAAGCTGCGCCTTGGTTTTGAACAGTTGCGGGAGTCGAACAGGCTTCCGGAACAGATTAAGTTCGAGAACCAAGGTGTGTTTGTGTGTGTGTGTGTGTGTGTGTGTGTGTGTACAGTACTTTTTTTCTGGGGGTATGCAGGGGTACACAAACCCCTAAACATTTTGTGAATCTAAGTTTAGCCTCATTGAGGGGCAGTATTTCAACATGAGTAGGAAAATGAGAGTACCCCTAAACATTTTTTAAGGAAAAAAGCACGAAAGAGAGCGAGAGAGCGCATTCCCAAATCATATAATATTTGGTACATCTTAGCCCTCTTACTAGTGAGGTAGGAATGCTGAATGTAATGCCAATATATTTCATATCTGGCAACCAATGTGCCCCTTTGGTTTCAGATAGTGAATGGGTAGATGAGTTTAAAAATTCCAGAACACAAATTTTCACGGCCTTCTAGCAGCTATGGTGGCTCATTTACCAGAAGTAATGTATTTAGTGTTAATTCTGGAAGTGTATACTCGATTCTGATTAAACAAAGCCTCCTGCTGTATATTTTGCTCTAGGAGGCATCGGTTGCCAGATGTGAAGTTTTTGTCAGCTCTCCTACTTCATTATACAGAATCACACATCAAAAAAGGGCACAATCCATTTAGAGATAACCATTTCAAATTATGATTTTGTACACACAGACACACGCATGTACAGTGCATAATACCACAGAAGAAAGGAAATGCATACTATTAGTTTATTTTGTAGAAATATTGTGGCATACCTATTTTATTTCTTACTGGCTTTAAGGGATTTTATTAAACTTAACTCATAATAAAAAAAAACCCAGTGTTCTCTTTATTTAATACCAGTAGGGAATGTCCAGTACTGCCCTGGAATTTTCAGAAACAAAAAATAGTTTGTGATTTTTAAATAGTTCAGTGATTGTGGATAATGTAATTTGTGAGTTTGGACCCGTCATGCAAAAATCAGGTGTTTTGTGTTAATATTTGAAGAGGTAGCCAGACCTATGCCAAAAAACGGGCACAAGAAAAAAGCACACCAAAAACTCAGGCCAATGTAAGTTTCAATAGTGGGAGTGGGTGTGCTTTTTTCTTGGTATATTTAATAAAAAACAGGCACAGACATGCTCAAGTCACATTTCAGTCCACCATCTTGATTCAGAATGGTGACTAGTAGAATATTCATTTCACATATTTATATACTTCACATATTCTATTACAACAATCATGAAATCCCAGGTCTATTAATCAATTTAACATTGAACTGCTTTGCAAATCACTAATTCCCATCACCCCTGCACATAGGAAACTTCATTCTGCTTTAAAACTGTCATGTCAAAATCATATATGTAAATTACACCACATATATACACTCTATGGGGAACTATTGCTAATCAGGGTTTCCAGTGTTGCATCTATGCAATGAAAGAGTCACATGTGTATTCAATACATTTCTGCCCTGCATTCTTGCACCAACATGATGCACTGGCGGAGGAAGAGGAGTGGGGGGGGAGCGCACTGCCCCTGGCAGCGCGATCCCAGTGGGGTGCCATTGAGGCTGCCCCCCCCTGCCCGTGCTGGGTGCCACGCCCCCAGGATGCATGCCAGCCCCGCCCCCGCCTGCTCTCTGCCACTGACAGGACTACCAACATAAGGAAGTGTATTCATTACATATTACATGGAAGTCATAACTGTGGAGGGCATGTAGCTTGTGTGAAGCAAATGCCAATTTCTTTTTTCTTGTTTCATAGTTTTTGGAGATCAGAGTTGAAAATATTAACTTTTAAGTTATAGAGTTGTATGGTTTATTTTTTTGTAAGCTATTCCATTATCCATGGTTATAATCTTGGCTGGCTTCAAAAGTAATTGCTTTCCTAAACATAAAGGAAGTCTGATTTTAATTTGCTATCTACATCTACATTCTCATATTCTTTTTATAGATTATTTGAAGTTATCACTAGAATCTTCTTTCACTCAAACATAAGTGAAAGTTTTATCTTACTTTGGATACCACAGAAATAATTTATTACTAAGGAAACAAAACCTTTTGTCTCACAATATATTTCTTCAGGACAGCTGTGGTATTTCAGTGCAAGCACAAAAGCTGCGATGATCTGGGCTGCAATCAACTATTTTTAATAGGAAATTTTTACGGACTTTTAATAAGATCTCCGAACATAATTTATGAGGAGAGGTTTTGAAGTGAAGAGGCATTGTTTGGCAAGTGTTCTTCTTCTAATCTCAGGAAATTTAAATAAAAGAGGGTTCATTTCCTCTAACTTCCACACACACACACACAAAAAAAGTTAAGGAAAACACCTGCTACATAAAGCCACAAAACAAGTTTATTCATAGTCCAAATAAAATTTATTTGAAAAAGTCTGAGGACACAAAGCTCTGGGGATGTCAAATCATCATGATATTTGTACTACAACTAACATTTAATAGCAGAAGTTACCTATTAATTTTATGTGGCCTGGGAAGAGGGTGTGTGTGTGTGTGTGTGTGTGTGTGCTCACCATTTTTGTTCAAGTGACAGATTGGCCTAAAGTATGAAAGAGAGAAAGAGAAATTCCCCAATCCTATAACATCAGACAAATACTGGACTGGGAAATTGCGCAGACATAGCATCATCCAGTGATGACAAATCAAACAATTTGATTGCAAGTAAACTTATTTTAGCAGGATTGGAGGGAGTCTGACTGTTAGGTGGCACATTTCAAACAATAGAGAATACAGATGCCACACTCTAAGGACAGAGTAACAGGAATGTCAACTTGAATAAAACAATGGGGGGAAGCACCTTCCTGCATAATTGATCACATGACGTGGTGCACGAATGCACGCACGCGCACACACACACCTTTTGAATGGTAATGTCCATCAACTTTGGGGGCCAGCCACCTCAAATATTTTATTGGGGGGGCGAAGGGACCTTGGCTCCCCAGAGTTGGCTCCTGTGTGTAAGTAGCAGCAGGCACTCCGTCTGCCGACAGTAGACTCTCCACAAAAAGCAGAAGATTACAAAAAGCAGAAGATTACAGTGCAAACAGAAGGCTTTCCAGGCATGCCCCATCACTTGGAAAAAAGACCCCAAGTTCATTTCTTGGTGCCTCCAGATGAGAAAGACTCTTCCCTGAAACTTGGGAGAGCTGCTGTTGGTCCGTATAGACAATGATGACTTAGATGGACCAAGGCTGTTCTCATGATGGGTTTCTGTTACAGCCCTGCTAGGATGGCTCATTGGAGCACAGCTCTGGAACGCCAGCCAGGTTACTGTCTGCTGGTGTGTGCATTTTGATTGACTTCTGCTCCAGTTTATCTCCAGCAGCCCCCACTGGCGGCAGAATTTGCCTTCCGTTGCAGCAAAGCCCAGTCCAAAATTCAGCAGCAGCACTGGAGGCAAGTCTGTAACACCTGGCTTTCATCATTGCTCCTGGAAGCTAGATGAAGCTGTGCTGCTGTCAAGTGGTGGGCTGGCCCCAACAGGGCTATACAAAGGGGAGTGATCCCTCTTGGGTCAGTGTGAGGGTGCCATCCCATCATTAATTGTTACCATTTTCCCCCTGGGAATGTTTGAATATATGTTGTCCTATTTGTGGAAATGGGTTTGCACTGGTGTGAGAGAATGGTGATTTGTAGAGTGGGTAGAGTACAAAACAAAGCTACCTCCTGTGGCGATCACACAGGGTCCCTGGACTTTTAACGGTCTATTGACTCCTGTGGCACCACTGTGCTCGCTTCCCTGCTGCCACCAACCAGTTAAAGGTAAAGGTAAAGGTACCCCTGCCCGTACAGGCCAGTCTTGCCAGACTCTAGGGTTGTGCGCTCATCTCACTCCATAGGCCGGGAGCCAGCGCTGTCCGCAGACACTTCCGGGTCACGTGGCCAGCGTGACAAGCTGCATCTGGCGAGCCAGCGCAGCACACGGAACGCCGTTTACCTTCCTGCTGGTATGCGGTCCCTATTTATCTACTTGCACCCGGAGGTGCTTTTGAACTGCTAGGTTGGCAGGCGCTGGGACCGAACGACAGGAGCGCACCCCGCCGCGGGGATTCGAACCACTGACCATGTGATCGGCAAGTCCTAGGCGCTGAGGTTTTACCCACAGCGCCACCCGCGTCCCTGCCACCAACCAGTTACTCTCTGGTAAAACACTGAGTCCAGTCAGTTGTTAAAAGTGAACCAAAAAAACCCAAGTTTATTTTGCAAACATTAACAAGTTTATGGTTTCTCAGATAATATTCCTTTCAGTATCTTAACTTTAGTTTCTTTACCAGCCTATACCTTCCTAATACAGTGGTACCTCTAGATACGAACGGGATCCATTCTGGAGCCCCGATCGCATCTAGAGGTAAACATAACTAGCGACTGCACATCTGTGCACACGCGCGTTGCTTTTTGCCGCTTCTGCGCATACGCGTGACATCATTTTGAGCGTCTGCGCATGCGCAAGCAGCGAAACCCGGAAGCAACGCGCTCTGTTACTTCCAGGTTGCTGCTGAGCGCAACTTGAACGCGCTCAACTCGAAGCGTATTCAACCCAAGGTATGACTGTACCTTCTGACTGATTATCTCAACTGTTTGAATGACTCCTCTTAACAAATTCTCTTACTCTCTCACACCAGACTAGCATTGTCCACCTGATATTTGGTGCAAAACTGGTCCAGGTCAGAGAGGGAGTTGCTATCATCCTTCAAAATTCTATCTCCCTCACAAGGAGACTGATCCACAGTGTGTCTGGGTTCAAGGGATTCGTTGCAATGTTTAGCTGGAGTCAGAACAGGGAGTATACTATACACCCCGCTGCACTACAACCATACTGCGAGGTAGTCTTGGATGTTGTGCTGGAGAACCCCTTCATGGTAGTGTTGGGGGACTTCAATATCCATACCAAGCCTGCTTCCAATGGGCCAGGTCAGGAATTCATGGCCTCCATGACATCCATAGGACTTTCTCAGTACATTAGTTGGTCTGACCCATGTAGTCAGGCTGCTCTGCCGCCTGCACGCCCTGCCCCACCCACCGCTAGCAGAAAAGTTGCACTGCCATTGTTGCCAATTTTGGACAAGATCATGCCAATTTGGTGTGAGCTCTTTTGCAGATATAACTTTTTGGGTTTTACATAATTCTATGCATTTTAACTTTAACCATTTAAAACATTAAAATACAGTGGTACCTCGCAAGATGAATGCCTCGCAAGACGAAAGGGTTTTTGGTTTTTTGAGTTGCTTCGCAAGACGAATTTCCCTATGGGCTTGCTTTGCAAGATGAAAACAGCTTGCAAGTTTGTTTCCTTTTTCTTAAAACCGTTAATACCCAGGGTGCATTGCTTGAAGAGGTGCAGTTGCACGCGGTGTGGTAGCCTTTTTTGAGGTTTTTGAAGACTTTGGTGATTTTTGAAGCTTTTCCAAAACTTCTTTTGAAACCGTGCTTCGCAAGACGAAAAATTCGCAAGACGAACAAACTCGCAGAACGAACTAATTTCGTCTTGCGAGGCACCACTGAAAAGGTTATTTTGAACCTTCAGACCTTGTTCCCTCCCTCCATGGGTTCTGCATGTACGATAAAGATTTCTGCATGTTTTAAGATAAAGTTTTCTGCATGTTTTACCGTTATCCATCTGTTATATATCCATACGGTAGTTACCATAGTTAGTTCCACATTACAAGTGTCATTACATCCCTGCCAGTGATTTTAACTGTTCACAGGCTGCCTGAACCCTTCTCTCCTGTACTGTAAGTACATATGATGTATGTGGGGGGGGGAGGGGGGTCTGCTTATTAGGGGGGGTCTGCTTATTAGGGGGGGTCTGCTTATTATTCTGCTTATTATTCTGCTTTCTGACTTTAAAGAACAAAACTTAACCTTTACCAGCTTTGCCAATCCCTTCAACATCAATGTTGACAGTGCACCACATCACCTTCAAATGGAATTAATAGAACTTCAGTGCAACAGCAGCCTGAAAGCGAAGTTCCAGGATGCGACAGTCGACGACTTTTACCGTCTCCTCCCCCCTGCTTTGATGCCACAGCTCCGACTTCAAGCTGCACGTGTTCTGTCCATGTTTGGGAGCACCTATCTATGTGAACAGATGTTTTCAGTCATGAATCTGAACAAGACCAAGCTCAGATCACGCATCACTGATGATAACCTCCATGCTGTTTTGCGGATTGCTACAGCACAAGACCTAACGCCAGACATCGATGGACTGACCTCAGGAAAACGATGTCAGCCATCTAGTCAGAAAAGTTAAAAAAAAGTTAATGCCTTGTGTTTGCCATATGTGTAATAAACAGTGTTTGGCAATATTTGTATGTTTTAAAAAAATTTTTACTGTCTGTTACCAAAAATCATTTTTCAATAAATTGTACAATAATTGTACATTTGAATATCTACTTGCCATTTTTCTATGTTTCTGCTTTCAGAGCTAGTTATTACTTACATTATTACAAAAAAACAGTAATAATTGAATGCAATACAATAATTTATTATAATAAAGAGTGGACACATAGTCCTACAGATACAACCGGCCCTTTGAGGGTGACCAAACTGCTGGTGCGGCCCCCGATGAATTTGAGTTTGACACCCCTGTTCTACACAGTTAACTCTGCCCCCTGGGTTCCCGTTGGTTAGTCATTTTACAATTAGTTAACCCTTTCCCTATGAACCCAGTATGATGTCACACAGATAGGAGGGCAAACACCACACCTCCCTCCCCCACTCAAAATGAGATCCTGTAGTGGGAAGTTGGACAAAATCTCCCTGGGGAGAGACAGGTCAAAGTGTCTGTCACAGGTGAGAGGTAGAGCTGTTTCTGCTTGGGATTCTTGGATCTCTTTTTTGCTTGTTTACCTTCTGTTACTGTGAAGCAGAGATTGCTTAAAGGAATTATGTCAAGGATAGAGGAGGAGGGGAGTCTCCCCCCCCCATTTTATTTCAGAATTTGATGTTCTACATTGTTATTGGTATTTATAACTTAGACCTGGGCAGATGAGCCATCTGTTAGCATTTCTCTTATATCTTCAAATCTTCTCAGTTTTAATTGATCTTCTGCCTCTATTAACAGGTCTTTATAGGTGGCCCAATCCCCTCATATATTTAATTTTTTAACCAATATTGCTTCTAATGGAGAGAGCCACCAAGGTATTTATCCTCTCTAGTAAGTTTTTATATCTGTCCCATACCTCGTATATTGATTTTCTTACCAAGTGGTGTGTTTTAGTTTTATCATACCATAAATATGCATGTCACCCAAACCTATTATCATGACCTTCCAAATCTTGTAAATCTGCATTTTTTAATAAAATCCAATCCTGCAACCAGCAGGAGCAGGACGCCTCATAATATAACTTCAAATCTGGCAAGGAGAAGTCACCTCTTTCTTTAGAGTCTGTTAGTAACTTATATTTTATTATTGGTTTCTTCCCCTGCCAGATACCAAATTGTGAGATCTTTTGTACTCTGCAAGATCTCTCACTATTTTGGGGTGAAATCTTACCCAAAATCAGTGCTAATGGCGACAGTGCTTTTCCATTGATGGCAGAGGCGGTGGGGCACCCACAGGCAGGCCACCTGAAGCAGCAGTCTCACCTGCCTCATGGCTGAGCCAGCTCTGGTTTATTATCATTGGTAGCTTATTCACTGGTGAGGTTTTGGCTACGGTAAGCCTGCAATTTATGCACATTTAACTTGTGCACATTCAGCTTTATATGCTTGGCAAACATTTTTGTAAAAATTAAAAAGGGGGTGGAAAGTGAGCATGGCAATCCCACTTTGGCAATCCCAGCCGCCATTGCACCGAATGTGTTTTGTCTATACACAATTTTAGCTTTGAGTGCAGTCCACAGAATGTATCCCTGTGTAAGTTGAGGGCTTCATCTACTTCATGCTGCTAGGGTGGAGGTCCCATTGAGATAGTCCATATTCTGATTTTATTCCTTTTTTTAACATGAAGTTTTATTGTTTCAGATTTTTGTAAGTGATCTTGTAAAGTGTTAAGTTAAGCGGCTAAGTGTATATGAAGTAAATAATAAAACAGATGGCACAGGAGGCAAGGCAAAGTGAATACGGGCTTTAAGCATTTTCTCATAAAAGCCTTTCATCAGCTAATCCACCGAAGAGATTCTGGAACACCCATGGATAACAGAGCGCACAGAAATGACAATATTATATCAGTTCTAAATCTGTACATGCAGGCAGTTCACATCATAAAGAGGAGTGAGTGAAGCCCCTGCCAGACAGCGGTTGAACATGTAGCCCTCATGAAAATGTTATCATAATCTCCAACGTGATAGTGGGGGGATGGATTCCGTTTGAGCCCTTGATGTGCTCAGTTTCTTCTCCAGTTTATAGTCCTCAAGAACTGGGGGAGGAACTTTTCCAGCAGCCACATTCCACCACAAAAACCTTCCTGATCCATTCATCCTTGTGGTCTCTGATGACGTGTTGGAGGTTCCTGCATTCCATTCCACTCCAGGGCTGCCTAGCGAACTCGCAAAGGGGTTTTACCTTATCCTTACCGATGCTAACATTTAAGAGTGAGCCGTGACCGTCTCGATTTGCCTTTCCCCTGTTTCGCTTTAAGAATCGGGTCTATCATGTACAGTGACTGTTCTTAAAAAACCCAAACACATTTGCACCACGCACAGAGAAAGCTTTAGGGGTCTTAATAGCTGCTGCTACCCTGAGTTCCGAAAAGCTCTTTTCCGTGTTCTTATCTTGCACGGACTGCACGCACACAACTCGAGATTACGGCGCTCGTTAGCAGGTGCGAAAGACGCGTCATCCAGCCTTCGATTCACAAGGAATCGCAACCGGGACAACTGCTGCCTTCTTGCAATCCGAGGAGAGGGACACGAACGGCGCATGCGCACCTGGGGGCGGGCACGCTTCCAGTTAAGGCGAGTGTAGCGGCAGCTTCAGCTGAAGGGAGTGCGCGTGCGCACCCGGCAACTGCCGTTCCGGGGGCAGGACGAGGTCAGCTGTCCCCCGGAAGCGGAAGCGGCGTGACTGGGAGCGGCCACTTTCCTTTCCGGCCGGGGAGCGTGCTCGGGGCAGCGAGAGAGGCCGTCTGTAGCCATGAGCGTCCCGGCTTTTATCGATATAACCGAGGAAGACCAGGTCAGGGTGGGGAGCGGCTGCTGGTTTCCCTCCGTCGCTGCCCCTCCCGGAATGCAGGAGGGCAGCTGTTGTCTCCTCAGGTGCCGGAGGCCACCGCTAGGGAGGGGGGGGAATCACTCGTGGAACCTCATTCACACGTATACACGGGTTCCACGCGCGCCCTACGAAGCGCCGCTTAGAAGCGAAGTGCTCCCAGCCTCTGCCGTGAAGGAAGCCGAGGCTGGCGGGGTTTTGCTTCCTAGCAGCTTGGTAGGCCCAGCTGAGGCCTCGTCCGGTCTTTAGACTCGGATCCTTTCTGCACCTGCTTGCCCCTCCCCCCCGCCGCCGCCGCCGCCGCTGTGGCCTCGCTAGCAAACGCCCTTCCTGCGAGGTTGGTTGCCCGGGCGCCTTTCTCGCTGGATCAGCACAGCTGTCTCTAGAGGCGCTTAACCTCCAAGGGATTGTGCTGAAGAGCACGATGGGAAATGAATATTTCTGCCTGTCAACATGTATCGAATGAGAAGTTACAGGCTGTATAACCATAGCTGTCAACTTTCCCCTTTTTTAAAGGGAAATTCCCTTATTCCGAATAGGATTCCTCGCAAGAAAAAGGAAACATTGGCAGCTATGTGTATAACAGGGGTCAGCAACCTAAGGCCCATGGGCCAGAAGCGGCCCACGGAGGTTGTTTGACCAGCCCACGAGCCACCCCCGAACTGAGTTGCCCATTCGCGCACAGTGCAGGGACTAACTTCCGCAGCACTGGAAATAGCGTCTGTTCACGCACAGATGCCAAAAAACGTGTGCACAATCCGACCCACGGAGGGATCTCCGTGGGACTGATCTGGCCCAGGCAAGATAAACCTTGCTGACCCCTGCTGTATAATATAGAGAGCCCCATGAAGAGCTTTGCTTGGAGGCTGATCTGATCATATTTCTTTATTACTACTCCCCCTGCCTTGTATGTGTCAGTGGTTCTTGTTCAGGAAGAATAGAGAGCATATTCTTAAAAGTATATTTATTACATGGCTAGGAGGAATGTGATCAAGTAGTGGGAGCTTTGGAGTTAAGCTGTTTAACACAGCATCGGCGTAGTCACAAAGAGTAAACAGGATGATCATAAGTGTATGTTTATGACATTACTAGGAGGACTATGATTAAAGGATGTTATTTTTATAGATGCTTTTTTCTTTTGAAAAGGCTGCAGAACTAAGGGCTTACCTGAAATCTAAGGGAGCTGAGATATCAGAAGAAAATTCTGAAGGTGGACTTCATATTGACTTGGCTCAGATCATTGAAGCATGTGATGTGTGCCTGAGGGATGATGATAAAGGTTGGTGTTTGCATAATTTAGGAAGCTATTGATAATCATCTGACCTAGGGTTGTGATCTAGTTTCTTTTAAATTATCTGCCTTCTAGAAAAGTGAGCTGTTCTCCTTTAGGGCATAATTGTATACAAGGGGCCAAGTTTTACAAGTGGGCACAGCTGCCTACCTGTCAGTTACCTGATGATAAATCTAAGTCAAAGGCTAGAGTGAGGCTTTTATTTAGAAAAATAAGAACACTGAAGTGGAACATGATAAACATACTATTATGAATAGTGTGGAGTAATTGGGTAGAACCTGACATTTCCCAATGAATTTGTTTAGCAGTCAATTTCAAACAGAAAAAATCAAGTGCTTCTTCACACAATGTATAATTAATTAATTAATTATTCATACATTGTATAATTAGCAATGGTGTCCTGATTTCCACAACTGTGCAGAGGACAGGGGTGTAACAGATTTTTGTCTAATACCAGTTATCAAAGTAGTCATTGTAATTTTTTATACTTCATTTCAACACCCTTCAGACAAAAACAAAAGAGTTGTATGGATGTATCTATGGCCTTTTAAACTGGGAGTGTGTGTTTCAGTTTTTGTTATGTATTTTTGTGTCTTTATACTGTAAGCTGCCCTGTGATGCTTGCATGAAGGGCAATATAGAAATTCAAATAAAATTGGAAGTCAAGTAAACATGCCACAGTTACTGTTGGTGTTTGCAAAAAAATAATAATTGGTCCATTAGTCTAGAAAGAGTTTTCTGTATGTTGTATTAACAATGAAAAGCTGAGACAGTCTTACCAAAGAACAATTCAGTGTCACATTTTTCATTACTGAAATATGTTTTTGTTTTTCAATATAGATGTTGAAAGTGTGATGAACAGTGTAGTATCTCTGCTTCTTATTCTGGAACCTGACAAACAAGAAGCTTTGATTGAAAGTCTGTGTGAGAAATTGGTCAAATTTCGGGA